AACACTACAAGCCAACGAGCTTTCTCCGCCTGTAAACTGGACATTGGACATTGGACATCGTCCTGTGCAAACTGAACTGAACTGAACTGAACTGAACCTAAATATTCTGCCTTTCAGAAACAAGCAGAACGAACCTTTGCCGAGCAGTGTTGGAAGCTAAGGAAGCTAGTTGACAATACAAATATCTGGACGCACGATTGGTCTCGGCCACTACTGTCCTGTGCAAACTGAACTGAACTGAACTGAACTGACCTTGAAAATCAGAGGGGCTTTGGCGGGCACTTTCCTACAGTTGTGCGCCGAAAGTTCGCGACATTTCCGGCTGGTAGTTTGGCGTGGTCAGTGAACGATGGCGATTTGGGGTCAGGGTGATCCTCGGTGGATTGTGGAAGAGAGAGCTGATGCAAAAAATGTTAACAACTGGCATTGGACGGAAAAAAATGCTACTTCATGGTCGATTGATTTGATTAAAAAGCTTTTGCTCAGCCTCAAGATCGAGAATGATGAATGTAATTTTGCTTTCCTTTCATTTGATGAATTTCCAGACGTATGCAGCATTGTTGATGTAACGAAGTGCGAGGGAGAGGCTCATGTGAATAACAGGAAGGCGAAACTGATTTTCCTGTATGAATGGCACATCGAAGCCGATTGGACTGGTGAGTACCCGAGTACCACATATTGCAGCTTATGAGTTCAGTAATTAAAATATTTTAGCTGAAATGTGTTCCCTAGCTTCACCCTAAGACTTTGAGGACTTATGCACTTATAGGGACAAGATTGATCCTAATACGAATGTGCACTGCTGTTGTATGTACTGAAGAACTGAATGAGCAACGTTAGAGTGCGTTGTTTTTCTGTGATATCCTATCCTGAAGGGATTTCTTCCGACAATACAGTACTTGTTTATTTTTTCGTGATAGCGCGACATCTTGGTTGCCTGTATTGCCAACAAGTGATGTGTAAGCTTCCTGTTGATATCCCCAAGCTGTAGGAATTCCTTGCTGTGCCCACTTAACCGCATCCGTATTTTTCATCACACAAGTGCGTGATGAACAGCAGACGGAGGATCCCATAGTTGCGAAGACCTGTTGAATGATGGAAACCGGCAACATAAGCCCCGAGACTTGTAACGATGAACCACACAAGATCCCACTCGGTTAGACGTGATATTGAACGGGAAGACAGCAAAGATACCTAACACCAAAACAAATGGCCATGACCGCATTCACTGTGACATGTGAATAACGAGATGATTTTTCATCTGCACTAATGGAAATATAGCATGGGCAACTTTCATTTGATCCAACCTAGCTAATTTACTTTGGAAGGTATTCTGTATTCGGTTATTCTCATCAACAACTCTGGTTATTAGTCTGTCTTTCTCAAGGCCGAGGACTAGGTAGCGCGCTCAACCGGAAGCATCGGCATCGGGTAGTCTCTTCAGTCCATAACGTGCTACGCAGCTCCCAAAGCTAACTGATTCTCCCCAGGTCATAGATTTGTGTGAAGATATTTTCGCTCTTGATTCCAGTTTGTGCAGAAATTGCGGCTGTAGTCTTTATAACAAAGGGAGAGTTGTTGATTTACTCGTGGGCAAGATGCTACTAGGTTACCCAGATCAAAGTGGGTGGATTTTCTTGGGGGGTTCACAACCGTCGCCATCTGCCAACCAGATCCGGTTCCATAAGGCAGGACAGTATCCAGCTTATTGGATCACACGTCCTTCGGACGGGGTTACATGTCCAAGGCGTCCTGTACACTTTGAATCCCGATCAAGCCGGTAACCGCTGTCACTACCACCAAATTGTGTAATTCGTACACCTCTTGTCAGCTCGTTTAGGGTGGGGTTCTGTCTCATTTGATCTACCAGAAGCTTCAGAAGAGACAAAATTAACAAACTACGGTTTGAACAACACCTAGAATACTGAACTTTTCACATCTTCGGCAAAAATATAATTGCCAAAAATTAGGTCATACTTTTCAGTAGGCGGAAGACTGCCATTCTAACCATACCGTAGCAGATAAACTTGCTATACACGGTCGAAAAATTGGGCTTGTGAGGCCTAACCCCACGAAACGCCAGCCCATTGGGTGTAGATGTCCAATCAACCAGATCATACACTTGAGCCGATGTTCATACTTCCAGTGTCCTATGGCCGTATTCAGTTGATGACGGTTGCAAACAGAGTATCTTAGGGTTGTCATGGATATTGGCTTTTTGACCTCACGTTCACCTTCATAGGAATGGTCTTCTCGACTTTCATTTCATGGCAGTAGAGGTGCCATTTAGAGTACGTTTACGACATTATCTGTGTATTCAAATGCATGTAAAGTGAGCAAAATACACGCGACAGAATATCAATTTGTTATCCGCATTCAATTTTTGAGTAGTGGTGTGCGCATTG